CAACGATAACGATGCTGTTGATAATGACAAAATGGTTGATAGAGATTTTGAGATAGAAATCCCTGTTTATTACAGACAACAAGTCAGTAAAGCAAGTTCTTCAGGGTCAGCTGAATCAAGTTTAGCAAGTACTCCGAAACGACAATGTATCTTAGATACAATTCTTGACTCGCCTGATGTTTCATCAACATTAGACAGAATTAATCTATCTGACACAAAATTTACTATACTAGCAGCAGCAATTGCAAGGGCTGGTGGACAGAACCTCGATGATGGATCATTGTCACGTTCTACAGTCCGTAGAAAACGAACCTATCATCGATTAAACATTGAAGCCACTGTTCGAACTGAATTCTGCGATTTGGACAAACCACCATTAATCGTCCACTGGGATGGCAAACTGATGATAGATCGTACAAATTCTGCAGACCCTAAAGCAAATGTTGACCGGCTATCTGTAGGTGTGACAGGTCACAATGTTGACAAAATACTTGGAATAGCAAAACTATCAGCTGGAACTGGAAAAGCCCAAGCAAAAGCAGTTATTCATCTGCTTAATTTCTGGGACATAATTGGTGATGTTATTGGAATGAGTTTTGATACTACAGCCTCTAACACTGGCTCCGAAAATGGTGCATGTGTAGTTCTAGAGAAACATATAGGTAGAAATTTGTTATATTTTGCTTGCAGACACCATGTTCATGAGATCATAGTAGCAGGAGTGTTTGGATCACTATTTGGACCATCATCTGGTCCCAACATACCTCTTTTCCAGAGATTTCAGCAATATTGGCCCAAAGTTAATCAAGGAAATTTTAAACCTCTGGATGACATTCGAATGAAAATACCCCTGGTGCAAGAACTACAAAATAAAGTGATGGCATTCCTCAAAGAAAACCTGCATGTTAAAATGCCAAGGGATGACTACAAAGAAATTATGGATCTCTGTCTGTTAATACTTGGAAAACTGCCTGATCAAGAAGAGAAAAATTATCATTTTAAGATCCCTGGTGCTTATCACATGGCTCGCTGGATGGCCAAGGTTATTTATTGTTTTAAGATTTATTTATTTCGTGAAGAGTTCAAGTTGACCACAAAAGAGGAAAAAAATCTCTGTGAATTTTGCTTATTTGCTAGTCTGGTTTATGTAAAATCTTGGATATCATGCCCAAATGCCAGCGATGCTCCAGTTAATGACTTGTTTCTGTTTCAGCAACTTAAGCAGTTTGCAGTTGTGAATAAAACGATTTCCGAAGCAGCAGTCAAGAAATTTCAAAACCATTTGTGGTACCTTTCACCAGAATTGGTCTCACTAGCTTTGTTTTCAAACAAACTTAAAACGGAAGAGAAGCAAAAAATGATTTCCAACATGAAATTTCACGGTGAGAACTGGTCTGAAAGGTTGATCAAATTAAAGAACATTGAAAGTCTAGAGAAGAAATCTTTGGACATGCTGGTGACATCAGTTTCAGCAAGTGCGTTGCGGTCAATGAAGGTTGATATTGATTTTCTGTTCAACAACGATCCAGCTACCTGGAATGATTCCCCAGAATACCAAGAAGGAAAAAATTTAGTATATTCATTGAAAGTAGTAAATGATGCTGCCGAACGATCTGTGGCTTTAATGTCGATGTTTAATGAATCGATTACAAGGAATGAATCTGAAATGCAGAGGTTAATTCAGGTGGTTGAGGATCACAGAAAGCGAGTGCCAGATGCCAGAAAGTGTACTCTGAAGAGTTATAGTCCTCGCTAGCATTAACATTGCACGAACTATAACATTACGATAATTAAATGTTAATTGCTCATATGTTTTTGAGTTGACCTACTTAGTAGTTGATAACGGTTTGAGAAACTGTTACTCCTTTACAATAATTTTTTTTGTTTATAATTCGTATTTTAATCAATGACAAAGAGTCAAAAATCTTAGTGTTTTATTTTGGAAAAATTCTGATATAACAAAAACCGCAGAACTTTAGTCGTATTGCAGTATTTTATTTCATTAATTTCTCTGCTAATAAACCAGTATAAAGTGGATGTGGATTGTAATTTGTATTCAGAATTTAATATTTAGAGATAATTAAAACTGATCAAATCTGAAAAATCTAATTAACCGGGTTTTAGAAATTTGTGGAACTTTGTTACTTTTTCCATGTTTTTCACATTTTTCGTAAAACTTTAGGGTCATTGAGCACCCCCTAAACATTATCTGATCGGAAAGATTTTTTGCACAGTTAATTAATATGTCAAATGGCACAAAATAAACAGCTATGCAATCAAATCTGAAAAAAAAAATTTTTTTGGACAGCCCTAATATATATATATATATATATATATATATATATATATATATATATATATATATATATATATATATATATATATATATAAATTAATTTTGATTTAAAAAAATTAATTTAAGTTTATTAAAACTAAATTTAATGCTTGGGTTTAACTTAATTGTCAAATTTATTTAAAAATATTACTAAATATTGTTCAATATTTAAATTTTATTTAATCTTTAAAAAAAAATTAATAAGTGATATATATACAAGCCTTCCTGGGAAGCGCATGTGGTTGCACGCCTTGTTTATCCACGTTTAAAGTAATTTTTTTAAACACACTGACCACGACAGTTTCCATCTTTTAATTTATAAAGCATTTCAATAATTTGCAGCAAAAAGCTAAACTTATCTACTGAGAAAAAAAAAAACTCTTTAAATATTAAAAAAAGAAAACAAAATTATAGTGAAATATCAAGTTTTAATTGAATAAACTAGAAAATTTAATATAAAAAAAAAAATTAAATTTTTTTTTTTTTTAATAACATTTTTGTACAACTTTCGTATTTTTTTTAGAGTGGTTGTTGTTTTTAGTTATCAAATTTGATACAAATTGATGAAAAATTCTATCAAAATTTAACAATTGAAAGTTTTTATATGCAATTTATTCCCAATTTTTATCAGTTTGTATAATTAAGAAACTAAGACTCTAGAAATATGAGAAATTTTGTTAGTTTTTTTTCTTAAGTTTATTTGTTTCGACGCCTTTTCGCTTTTAAAAATGTTTTTGCTTTATTTAACATTATTTCTCGATACTTATACAATAGGAAAATAAGAAAATAAATTGCTATTTATTTGTAAAATATATTATTTGATTAATAAATTTTGTAATAACGGAATATATGAAATAAAAAAGTTGCATGGTTTCTTTTATAAATCCATTTACAACACTTGATGTCTGTCTGATATTGTTTCCTTTATATTGCCCAATTTCCAATGTTTATATGAAGTACTAGAGCATAACAATTGCTCTGTTTGAAAAAATGTGCTTAAAAACTTAACGAAAAAGTTATATATAGACTCCTAAAAATTTCATTACAAAAGTTCAGTAATTTACAAAGCACTAGCCAACAAGCTTTTGGAGCATTGTCAATAACAATAGTTCCTCAAGAAATAAACTATCGGGCTTATATGCACAATTCGGATAAGCTAAATAAAGTGCAGACTATTTTAATGGGGATAGTGAAAACAACCAAATATTTATAATTAGATATTATTATTAATAAATTTTTATTTTTTATTGCATGAAATACTTGATCAAAAAATTATAATTTTTCTGCAAATAAATAGCAATTACTTTTCTCACTTTCCTATGCATTGTTAAAAATAACGATGTTCAGCAAAAACATTTTAAAAAGAAAGTTAAAATTTTTTTATGTTTTTAGGACAAATTAAAATAAAGAGTATTTCCATAATACTTTTTACTCTTAATACTGACTGAAGAAATTTGCGAAAAAATTGTATATTAAAAAATGGTTTTTTTTTGTTATATTCTTATCTTCTTTTTTCCTCAACTTGTATCAATTTTGGTAATGAAAAATAACAAATGTCCTAAAAATAAGAAAACAAAAAAAGTAAAATGTTTAGGTATAATCTTTTTTTTACAACATTTTTTTAAATATTCAATATTTTTTAGCTTATTATATTAAGATATTCTACTTCGTATAGTCTTCTTTTCCTTTCTTCGAGAATTGCTGTTTTATTCTCTCTAGTTTCTTATAGCTTTATTTTGCTGCAAATTTTTAAAATGCTTACTATATAAAACGTGGTTAAGTTGTCTAAAAAAATTACTTTAAGTGTGAACGAATGAGGTGTGGGACCATATGGACTTCCCGGGAAGGCTTGTATATAGCAATATAATTTTAATAAATGATGTTTGGAAAAAAAAAATCTTTGCCTTCATAACAAAATCGTTTATAAATTAATAAACCTTTAATAAATAATAAATAAAGGTAATTTTTTTAATTAAAAAATAATTTGTAGTTGCAAAGCCACAATTAGAAATTCAAGAAATAATCATTTAAAAATTCAAAAATTTGACATACTTTAATTCATTTATGCAAATGTCGAGAAAAGGAAGAAGTTTGTCACTATCAAATGTTTTTAAAAATGTAATATTAAATTTAATTATTTAATATTGAAAAAAAAAAAAATTCCTTATAGTAATAACAAAAAAGAAGTTAGATAACATTTAACTTGTTTTGCAGTAATTAATATTATTGCAGTAATTTAAAAAAGTTAATGTCTTTTAAAATTAAAAAAAAAGAGAACTTTATGATGTAAAATTTGCATTAGGCTGATGCGTTGAGCATTTTTTATTTAAAACAAGGTTTAGTTATATATGTATCCATAGTCCATGGGTTCCAAGACAAAATTTCTTTTTTACTTTTTAATCAATTTCAAAAATGTTTTTTCTATATTTAAAATACTTCAAAACCTCTTTTAACAATTTTTGGGTTTTTATGGTAACTTTTAGATACCTGAAACATTTTATCAATTTTATTGAAGTAAGATATTTTCATAAGTTCTGGCTAAACTAATTAAAACTTAATATACAATTGCTTAGTTTATATTCATTTTTGCATTTTTTTTTTTTTTAACTTATTTATCTTAAGCTTAAATAAATTGTTTATATGTATCTGGTAATTATAATTATAGTTGCGTGAAGCAGTCCATGTTAAGTTTAATTCACCCATTGAAAAGTTGTGTTTGATATTTGCTGGAAGAATACTTAAAGACCAGGATACTCTTAAATCAGAAGGTAGAATTTTTTATATATTTTTTAAAGAAAGTCATGTTTATTTGTTAGTTATTACTTACTACCTGTCCAAAGTCAGTAATATTGTAAAAAAAATTGTTCAAAACATTAAAAAAATTATTTAGAATATTAAAAAAAATATTCAGAACATTTAAAAAATTAATGGGAACATTTGTATTTCAACTTAAGTTTAATCATTTATTTTTATGTTCTAGCGATGAGGATATGAAAATAATTCAAATTCACAATCTATCAGAGTTTTGATGCATGTTAATTTGGTTTAGTGATGCATGTTAATTTGGTTTAGTGATTTTGTTTGTTATATTGTGATTTAAATTGTTTACAGTTTTTTTAATAGGTTTTGTGAAAAAAAAATTGAATGTTAAATTTTGTATATGACCAGTTTTTACTAGTTTGCACAAATTATTTTTTATATGAGTGTTTAGATTAATTTGATTTTGCATCTATTTCCTTAAAAATAGTAGCACAAAAAACCTGTATTGCATGAGGGGACCTTTTATAGATCTTAGACAAGTGCAATCACTATGCATATGTTAGACATGAATGCTGTTACATAAATTTCTCTCTTTTGTAAAAGTTTTTTATTTACAAAGTTTTTAAGGTTACAAATTAAACCAGACAATCCAGTCTTTTGCAGAATATGTGCATGACCACAGCTCTTTTTATGATTTGACAATTTGCATATTTTTAATGTGCTGAAAAAAAAAAAAATCTAAACTAGAGAGAAAGTTTAATTATAAACTGGAAAAAGAAAAGAAATCTTAACAATCTAGAATATAAATGAAAGAGCAGAAAAAATGAAATAAAAACAAAACAAACAAACATATTTTCAGGCCTTATTTTAAATAAAAAAGTGCTTAACGCATTAGCTTAGCGCGATATTTGACGTCATAAGCTTGTCTTTATTTTTTTCTATAGATGTTAAGTGTTTTTACTACCACAATAAATAACTGCGAACTAGTTCAATTTAACAATTAGCTCAATTAAAACAATGTATAAATGTTGTAAATGTAAATATATTATAAAAAGTTTGTTGTGTTTTCAATTGTTATTTTAATATTAATTTTAGTTCAATATTATGAAGTAATATATATATATATATATATATATATATATATATATATATATATATATATATATATATATATATATGTTATTTCTAAAAATTGTAATTGCGTTATTCAATTAAAAAATATATATTTTTTATTTTTTAAAACTTCGGGAGTAAACAAAAAGTATTAACATATTGATAAACGAAAACCCATGCTTATTACTTGAACAGCGATTTTGTTTTGACTAGGTTTTTAAATATATTACGTATATTTATGTTGCTCAGTGTTTTCACTTGCGTTGTATAAAAATATAAAAAAAGTTAAATGCCTGTTTTGAGCATATTTTTGCACGTAAGATGCGTTCACCAGGAATTTAATGAATTAATGTTTTATATTATAAATGTTTTACATTTAAACAAATCACAAAAAACCACAGAGCTAAAGAGAATTTTTTTAACAACTAAATTTTTTTTTTTTGAATTTTATTAAACAAAAAAAAAATTAAATTACATAAAAAAGTCTTGATTATTCATACTCTTTTGTTAATAATTCTAAAAACTAAAAACTTTTTAAATACCAGTGACACATTTTCCAGTTTAAATATCAGTGACACATTTTCGGCGTTTTTGCGTGTACTTGGCGAGAGAACGCTCAATTATATCATCATAGTCTTCTTCTGACCAAAGACTATGATTTCCAAGAATTACGACACAATCAGCAAGTGCTTCATGACTCAAAGAGAGGCGTTTATCCGATAAGACATTGGTAACAGTACTAACTGTTCTTTCAACTTCTGAATTGGACCGATATACACAATTAATGACATAAGGCAACATAGGTTTTAATATTCCATATAGTATTTTTTAAAAATAATTTTCCACAAACTGCGCACTGGATAATAATCAAACTCAATTTTAACTAGCCGTTTTAGTTTTTTCCATTCACTTAACACAACATCTTTTTGAAATCCCGCGTTTTTTAAAGGCGCTTCAAAATGGTTACAAATATAGTTGATTTCCTGCACTCTTGATTCTGGGTCTTCAATTATCCAATATATTGGGTCATTAATTTTCATGCAATGCAAATTTCTATACAATATAAATTCTCTTGAATAGTCCTGAAACCTAGTTGATAACATCGAATATAGTTTTGAGAAAATGTTTTTTTTAATTTGATGAATTTCGTTGATTGATTCGTCATGATCAAAACTATTCATTTCTAGTGTTACGCTGACATATTTACGATTTTTGACATGCTTTCATTTATCACCAGCCTTAGCAAATGAACCTTCGACATCAGTTTTATTGGTGACAAAAGAGCGATTTATGAAGCTGTCAATCAATTCGTCATCTTGCCCAATACATTTTATTTTATCTTTCATCTCCAATAGGGTTTGAGTTATTGTAGTAGGAATTTCATGAGCCAATAACTCATTGGTTTCGAATATTTTAGACACAGGAATAACTACTTCCAAGCTGTCTAGATACAAACCAACTTTGTAGAGGAAGGAATGACACTTAAATGATTTCAATAGGCCTTTCACTTTCGCTACAGTTTTGGAATTGGTCTGTTCGCTTTTTTTTTTTTTTTTTTTTTTTTTTAACATCTTAACTTCCAACAAGGCTGCAAGCAACCACTATAAGAGTTGGAAGTTACTGGAAGAGAAAAGACTAAATCTTTAGAGCAAGATAACGATTGACTGATGACTTAAAAGATTGCAAATTATATGAATCAGGAAAGCAAGATTAAGGAAGCGAATTCCAAAGAACTGATGTTCGAGGAAAAAACTAGAAGAATAAGAGTTTTTGAAGCACTTAGGAACAGTCACAGAAAAAGGATGAGACTTAATTGAATGGCGAGTAACACGAGAATGAATTTTAGTAGATGGCGCAAGGGACGCTAGCTCTTTAGAGCAGTGCCCATTATAGTATTTGTAGAAAAGAGAAAGAGAAGCAACATTACGACGATGTGACAAAGGTTGGAGATTGGCTGCCAGAGCAGGTCCAACTATGTTTACAATTCGTTTTTGCACCTTGTCTAAAAGAGAAAGAGCATCATTAGAAGATCCGTCCCAGATGTGGCAACAGTATTCCATACAGGGATGGATTTGAGATTTATAGAGATAGAGAATAGAATCTGGAGTAAGAAAGTGTCGAGCTCAATAAAGAGATGCAACCTTAGCAGATGCTAATTTTGCAATGGATTTGATATACGGTTTAAAAGAAAGATCAGAAGTAAGAGTTAATCCTAGAAGATGAATGGTAGATGACTCATCTAGTACATTACCATTCATAAATATAGGAAGATCTAAATTATTACGATAACGATTAGCCGAATAAAATTGAGTTTTATCTGAATTAAAGTTCACCAGCCACTGTGAGCCCCATGCTGTAGCAGAAGTGAGATCCTTTTCAAGCTCAGATACCCCCTCCAAGCAATCAGAGAGTGTAGGCTTCTTATCATGACAAGAGTAAATGGTAGTGTCGTCAGCGAATAATGCCACCTTAGATGTGAGAATATCTGGAAGATCGTTAATGTAAATTAAAAAGAGTATAGGGCCAAGGATTGAACCTTGAGGAACCCCTGAAGTTACAGGATGTGAAGAAGAGTGTTGTCCATCGAGGACAACTTTTATACTACGATTGGAAAGAAAGGACTCAATAATCTTAAAGACGTTACCAGCTACACCATAAGAAGAAAGCTTATGGAGAAGACCAGCATGCCAAACTTTATCAAAAGCTTTAGAAATGTCAAGTGCGATAGCCTTAACCTCTCCACCTCTATCTAATGCACGGTAAAACCTATCGGTTATTACTGTTAGCACATCAGCTGTAGAACGAGAAGACCGAAATCCATATTGATGATCAGAAAGTAAGTTATTTGATTCAAGATGAGAGATGAAGTGTTTGTTGATTAAAGATTCATAAACCTTGCTTATGACAGGAAGAAGACTAATGGGACGGTAGTTAGATGAATCAGATCGCTCTCCGGAATTTTTGAAAATAGGGATAACAGATGCTGCTTTCCATCATGATGGAAAACAAGACTCTGATAAGCACTTGTTAAATAGTTTAGAAAGTATGGATGAAAGCTCCGGAGAACACCTCTGCAAAACTACAACAGGAATGTTGTCAGGACCACAAGCTGTTGAAGAGTCTAAGCAGGAAATTACTTAAGATACAGAAGCTGAAGTGATGCGAATGTCAAGCAAGGGATCAACCTGTTTGACGGCTATGTCAGGTAAAACGCAACTAGTGGAATCAAGAGATGATATTGATGAAAAGTTCTTAGCAAACAATTCAGCTTTGTCTTTAGGTGAGGTGACAAAGTCTGAACCATACAAGAGAGAAGGAATAACAGATTTGCCCTTATTATTAATACTGTTAAAGATTTTCCAGAAGTCTCGAGAGCCTAATTTTTGTGATGAGATACGAGATTTAATGACCTGGGAATAGCGAGCTTTGGCGTCAGACAAAACCTTTTTACAATGGTTTCTGGCAATAGTGAACAGATGTCTGTTTTCTGGAGAATTGTTTTGCTGATAGATATGGAAGTAACGGTTTCGATTAGAAATTGCTGCAGCGCAATGTGAGGAAAACCAAGGAGAAGAGTGAGGCTTGACCTGGAATCGTCGAGAGGGAATCAAAGATTCCATGCCAGCCTGAATCCACGAAGTTATGTAAGAAACACATTTGTCAGCAGGAAGACGAAAGATTTCTACCCAAGGGCCATCACGAAGAAAATCACGGAAAGAGTCCCAGTCAGCTTTAAGGTAGTTATATGTGGTACGATGATAGGGGGATTCTGATGAAGTAGAAGAATTTGATAATAGTTTTAGAGAGATCAAACCGTGATCAGAAGTACCTAAGGGTGAATGTGGAGAAATTGAGCACTGACTAGGATCCAAAACAAGACATAAGTCGAGTAGAG